GTGTTGCCTGCAATGCAGCATGAATGCAGTTGTGGAGATATGTGATCCAAGAGATAGAATTATAGAGTCATTCAGGTTGAAAAATACCTCTAAGAACCAGTCCAGCTATTAACCTAGCACTCCCAAGTCCATTACGAAACCAGGTTCCTAATGGAGATGTCTCTCCATGGGCATTACAGGCAACATGGTACCAGGTTTAGTCTTAGCTCTGAAGTGTTTAAATACTGACCCAGAAGGTCTTTCATCTCCCATTTCTGCAGAGGCACCATGAATGCTGACTGCAACATATACTCTCAGTGTCATGCTACTAAAAAAATCTGTTAATGCACTGAAATACAACTTCCACGTCATGACAAGCTGTATGAATAAAACTTCCCTCACACCTGTACAAAACTGTCCCCAAGGCATAAGGGAGCAAAGAAAAGACCTGGATTGTGTGCTCACTCTCTCTGTAGAGAGTCTGTTTCCAAGGCTTAGCTTACAGCAAGGATTAGGTACAGTTAGAATTAGGGTCGAGGTAAAGAGAGCCTGCTGCTTCAGTTGGAATGGGTTTACAAAGGAGCTTCAGAGAAAAACAGGGCAAAGAGAATTTGGAAGGGAAAGTATTTTGGTGTGGGCATTGGTGGGGTATCATAGTCTAAGACTCACCCTGTGGTCATGGTTAGGGCTGAGAAAAAGAGAACGCCCAGAGGAAGGCTAGACAGTTGGAAGAGGCTAGAAGAGGGCTCTCAAAGTGAAGGGTGGGCTGCAAAGAGAAATTGGCTTCAAGAACTTCTTGTTCTGTGCAGTGGTTGAGGGTGATGTCTGAAGCTCAGCCTCTGAGATTAAAGTCAGGGTTAGGCTTGAGAAGCCATGAGCTTCTGCTGCACGGGGACTGTGATAGAATGGATAACTGGAAGTGTTAGCTACAAGGAAAATTTCATTCCCAGTTTTCTGTTTGACCTCGCCCAAGGTAAATTTTAGCCCAAGACTCAGGCTTGGGTGGGTTTATTGATATGGCTGAGATGGGTTGGCCTTGGCTGGATATCAGGTGCCCATCAAGTTATGCTCTCACTCCCCTCCTCAACTGGAGAGGGAGAGCCTCCTAGCCAGGTTCAATTTCACTGCCAATTTTATCTATCTTTTCCCCCCAGTGGGGGAATGGGTGCCTGTGGTCAGGCCATCACACACTGTCTTTGCTGCTCCGTTCTCCTTCATCCTCCTTTGTTCCAGTGTGAGGTCCCTCCTACAGGAGACGGTTCTCCATGAACTTCTCCAACAAGAGTCCTTCCCATAGGCTATAGTTCACAAACTGCTTTAGCACAGGCCATTTCCACAGGATTCAAGTCCTTCAGGAACAGGCTGCTCCAGCGTGGGTTGGCATCTTCTCACAGAAGCCACCCCTATAGCCCCCTGCACAACCAAAACCTTGCCATGCAAATCCAATAGAGGCTATGGTTAAAATTAGGGTTAAAAGAATGAGAGCCCAGAGCTGCACTGAGAGTTGAGTAAGAAAGGAGATGGGCTGCAAAGAGATCTTGGCTGGGAGACTATTTTGGCTTGGGAATTAAAAGGGGGTTGATAGCATTTGATTATGTTTACATAATCAGAATTAGAGTTAAGGCTGGGAGAAAGAGACAGCCTAGAATTTCAGCAGAAGGAGAGTTAGGAGAAGGGCTTTTAAGGGGAAGTCTAAGTTCAAGGAACTTGGCAGGGCTGCCTGGTCTGAGGCCCAGCCTACTCTTATGGTTGGAGTTACAGCTGAAGTTATTTTTGACGAGACAGTGTAGCACTGCAGTTGGAACAGGCCCAGCACACCTGGGGTGCAGGAAGAACTTTGTTGCAAGAACTTTTTGTTGTGACTGGTGCTCTGCAGTCCTGGTCTGAAGTCCACCATAGAGCTTGTGTGAGGGTTAAGGCTGGTGCTGGGAGCCAAAGAGAGCCTAGAGCTGCAGAGGAAGGGAAGCTTGAGAGCAGCTGATAGTGAAAAGGTTGGGCCACAGGGATAGCTTGCCTGCAAAAACGTGTTGGTGGAAGCAATGGCTGAGGGGCCTGGTCCAAGGCTCCACATAACTTCTAGGTGTAGGGAGAGGTCTGAGGTTATGTTTGACAGAAGGAAAGAGACAACAGCTGCAGCTGGCTCAGAGCTAGAAAGTGACTGTCCCAGGAAAGTGTAGGCTGCCAGAAGAACCTGGCAGCAAGAACTTCCTGGCGTGGGCATGGGCACCACATCCAAAGCCCAGAGTATGGTTTGTTTGAGGCTTAAGGTTACAGCTATGAGATACAGGGGACCTGGTGCTGCAGCTGGAATGGAGCTGGAAAGGAGATCTCAAAAAAAAGGTGTGGGGTGGAGCAAATGTGTCAGGGAGAATATTTTGTTGAGGGCACTGACTGGGGATCCTGGTCTAAAGATCTGTGTTAGTGTTAAGGTGGGCATGGTGGGCACTTGGACAGAGAGAGCCTGGAGCTGCAGATGGAGGGAGCTTAGAAAGGGAACATGTCAAAGGAAAGGGAAGACTGTCAGAAGAATGTGGCTGTGACAATGTTTTGGTGTGGGCAATGGCTGGGGATCCTGCATTGTGACTCAGCATAAAATTACATAAAATTACATTTTCCTCAGGGTCAGTGCTAGAACTGGGGGAGAGAGAGCCCTGGAGCTCCAGCTGAAGGTGAGTTAAATGAAAGGGAAGTCTAGGCTGCAAGAAGTGGACTGTGAAAATTTTTACTGTGGGCACTAGCTAGAGGGCCTCAGCCTCTGTTCTATTTTAAGGAATAGGATTACAGTTGAGGGAAAGACATCCCAAGAGGAGTGTAGACTGAAAATGTAATCAAATTTTGTCTCTTCAAGTGACCCATGAGTCCAGCTGCATCTGTATTGTGGATTCAGTGGAAAACCTGTGCCCACAGTGTTTGTTACAGGAAAGGCAAGTACAGGCAACCATCTTTTTTTGTGGCATTTATTATTGAAGAGGACAAATCTTTGCTTCAGACCTTGTCACGTAGATAGCCCAGGCCCCTGAATTTATTTTTTTTTTAATTTTGCTGTAATTGTTATGGTCAACATCTTTTGTTTTTCTGATAAAACAACCTTCTTTAGTGAGAACTCATATTTGCAGGGAAAAGCTCTTTAGAATCTATGCCAAGATGACAAGAAAGTCTTCTGGAAAAAAGAGCAACTTCTTTCTTGAGCCTTCCTTATAAAAAAAAAACCCTACTAAAATCTTTGCTGTTTTTATTATTTATAAACCAAAATGCTTCACTATATGGATTTACTCTGGAAAGATGATGAAAGACACATATGTGGCAGATGTTAGTCATGTTGATGTGTGCAGCATTGCACAATGCTCAGATGTCATGTTCTAAGTGTAATGTAGGGGATAAAATGGGTACTGAACTCTTCCGAAAGTCTGACTTCAAACCTATATTTAGGCATCTAAGTGACCTGCTTTTATTCAAAGGTGCTGACGACTCAGCTGCTACCAGTGACTGCAGCAAAATATAAAGGATTTTTTTGTTGTTGAATCTATTTTCAAGAACAAAAATTACAGTTTAGTATCTCTGTAACTCCTAAATAATTCTGCTGGGAAAAAAAATGGGGGGAAAAAAAGAACAGAAAATTAAATACATCTCTGTTTTGTCCTACTCTCCATAAGATGAAGGCAAAGGACCATATAATAAATCCCAGTAATTGTTTCTGTGCAGGAGGGAGAATAAACACTACTGCTTTGGATTCCAGCATAATAGATAACTTTGCTGTAGAGATTACAATGGCAAAAGAGAAATGGAGATATGCAACACATTTTTAAATTTCTGTAAGCCTGTGTTGGGCTCCCAGACTCATGTATTGACCTTGGTTGCCCGGAACAGCCACACCTGGGAACACGTTCTGCCCAGGACCTCCACTTAAGCTCAGGCAGGGCACAGTTTAGGTCTGAGCTATGTTGTAGGTATACCTATCTCCAGCTGTGTTCTGGTTATACCTTGGCCTCTCTCATCGGCAGCTTGCCTGCACCTCTGCTTCTGGCTCTGGATAGACCCTGTGCCTACATTGTGGCTTCCCGGATGGACCTGGTTCGTCCCCTCAGCTTCTCTGGGACTGCTGGTGTGATGTGTGCTCTTGCCAGCACCCTGCCCGCTGAGTGTGGGCCCGTGCCGTGTCACTGAGGGCACTGGCTGCAGTGGGATGACCCTCCCTTGCGGTTTGTCCCCCTCCTTGCTTCTCCCTAGGCATCTGGTCTCCTTGCTGAAGCAATGAACAGCAAGAGCTACAGCAGGCAGGTCCGTTTGTATTATTTCAGAAGCTGATGTATGACTTCTTGTACAGGCACCGGAGACGTACGCTACTGTGTTACCCGTGGGAACTGACCCCGAACAGCGACGGCAGGTGTCATTGAGCTCCTCCTCATCACACCGCGGAGCAAAGCCTATGTGGTGTTCGATATTTCTGAGCACATATTTCAGATGTGCCTTTGCAGGATGTCGCCTGTCACTGACCACATTCTCTGTGGCCATGGAGGCAATCAAGAGACAATCTGCTGTGGGTGTCAGAGCACAGTGAGGTCACAGGGGTGCAATACTCTGGCAGGGGACCGAGTTTTCCGTATTTGCTGCATGCCCGCTCTAAGGAGCCGCTCTGCTCAGGAAGCCGAGCTGGGGCAGGAGCAGCTGGCAAAGCCCTGCCGCAGAGATCCCTCTCATTCCCACAGATCCCTTTACAGAGAGGGAACTGGAACCGGAGTAACAATCACTCAAACTGTGCAAAGTTACGGTGTGAGGGACTAGCTAGCTAAAGAGTAGGGCGACGGGAGCTTTGGTTTCTCAGAGGACTGGCGATGGGCGCGAGAGCCGGAGGGCAGCGGGCGAGAGCCACCGCGACCCCCGGGCGGGCCCGAGCCAGCCCCACCTCCGTAGGCCCCTCTCCCTGAGGGGAGGGAGGCGCGGGCGGCCCCGCGGCCGCGCAGGCGCCGCGCGCGGGGAGCATGCGCAGTGGGGCGGCAGAGCCGGCGCTCCGCGGTGCCCGCGGGGCTGCGGCGCTGATCGCCCCCGCCCGCCTCTCCTGCCCGCCCGCCGCTCTACCCCACACCAGCCCCTTCCACCTCTGCCGCCGGCAGCGCCATGGCGGCCCCCAGCAGCATCGTGCCCGTCATGGCGAGTAAAACCAAGACCAAGAAAAAGCACTTCGTGGCGCAAAAAGTGAAGTTGTTCCGGGCTAGCGACCCGCTGCTCAGCGTCCTCATGTGGGGGGTCAACCACTCGGTAAGCGCCGCCGTTCGACCCACACAAGCCCGCCCGCCTCGCTGGGGCATCGCACCCGGGGCTGCGGGGCGCGGGAGGGACCGGGGCAGGCAGGTGGCCCCGGGAGCCCCCTCCGGCTGTGGCCCCGAGCCCGGCGGGGCCGGGACGCGCTGCCGGGCGGGCGGTGCGCGGCGCGGGTGATGCGCGGGGCCGTGCGGGTGCCTGCGGTAGCACCGTGTCCGCCCTTTGGCCCCGCGGCTCCGCTCGGGGGCAGCGGGCGGGAGGTGCCCGGGAGGGGACGGTGCTGCGAGCGGAGCCCGAGTAGCTCCGCTCCTGCCGCCGGCCGCGCGCGGGCGTCGCATGGATGTGCTGCAGTTGGGAAAAATCCCGGCTATCGGTGGGAACTGGCCAAGTTCGTCCCGTGTCCGTGCAGTTCGCTTCGGCAAGTGTCCGCTGCCGGTGTTCGCGGGGGAGGGGAGGAGGAAGGGCTTGGTGTGGTAAGGCGGCAGAACTGCACCATTTGCGAAGTGCTCCATCACCCTGCGGGGACGGGCGGCCCGGGCTCCGGGAGAGCCCCCGGCCGGGCGCTGGTCTGCGTTAAAATTAGGAGCCTGGTGAAGATGTCACATGGTTTGGGCATTATGAGGTTCAGGTCGCAGCTTTGCATCTTTAAATAGCCACCATGGCGGGTTAAAAGTGTAGAGCCCAAAGATCGCCAAAAATCTGTTATCTGGGCAGTTAAGCAAAGAGCGTCTTCCTTTTTGCTGGCGGAGAGAAGCCTGCACGCCTGTGTCGGGTTTTCATGGGTTACATCTGCTGCTGAGTAACGAGCCTGTAAGAATGTCAGTGTGCAATTTGAGATCAGACTACAAATTTTGAAACGGCCACATGAAACCGACAGAGCAGCCTGTAGTATTACTCACTGTGCCTTTTGTTTCCTACACATCCATATCCCACGAGTTTTTTACCTCTGTGGATGTTTCAGTGGTTTTTGCCCAAAGCCTGGAGTCTGTGCATCAAGACTGAGCTCTGTTAGAGCTGTGTTAAACAGCACAGTGCCTGAAGTGAGGATCATGGGGAAATGCTTTGGCTGTATGTACCAGATAGAGGAGAAGCTTCAGTGAAGTTGTATAGTCTGCTTAAGGTAGCACTGTGAGTCGGTTGGAAATGGTGACAAAGGATTTCAAGTTTTCTGTAGGTCAGTTGTGAGCAATGACATCCTATATCGTGAGCTGATAAGACAGTAGTTATTTATCTCCAAAGCAGAAATATCTTTAATTGTGGAAGTGTGTGATATTCTGTTTGCCTGATTTGGGCTTAAATACACACATTTCTCTTGCTCCTTTTGTAGCGGCTAGTGTTATAGAAAATTCCCAAACAGGCCTCTTTAATGAAAGAAAGCAAGCTGGTAATTACAGGGTGAGAGACTTGTACCGAATGGCAGCATGTGCTAGCTGTTCACTGTCTCCCTGAGGAGAGAGGGAGAAGATCACCGATGAAAGCAGAGATCTTCCTGTTGCAACAGCTCGTTGCTATGTGAGTTCACAGTGGAAATACCACTACTTTTAGAGGAAAGACCTCTTCACTACAAGTAATAACCAAGTGTATGGTGACAAATGCAACACCGTGTGCAATCCTCACCATCCTGCAGTCATGTGCTGTAGTGTGCATAGCTGTTCCCAGTAGAAAATGTAATCAAGTGTGTTGGTTCGTGCACAGAAGATGTGAAATTGTGAACCGAAATCCTCTCATTGGAGAGGCTCAAAAAAACAACACCAGCAACACTACAGGCTCAGAGAAAAGAGGCTTCATATTCACATGGAGGTGATGGTTGTAGGTGTGAATATCTGTTGTGTTCTGCAGATGGCATTCCCTTTCCTTACCCCACTGCAAAATGTAGTCATGAGTAATGCTGGGAGGCCGTGTGGAAGTGAAATCCCGCTGAATGAGAGAGCATGGAAAAAAAGTTAATTTGATGCATCCAAATTAAACATCTCTTCTTGGCCAAGAATGCAGCATTGAAGTGTTGCAGGCTTCTCTGTTAGATGCTTTTCCTGTCATTTTGTAATGCTTCATGTGGCAATGTCCAGCAAATGAAAATAAGTGTGCAGCATGGTTTGACTCTTATCTCAAATAAGAGTTTCTCGTGGGAGAAATACAAACAACGTATGTGGATTAATTAAGAACAGGAATTAGGAATCCTTAGATTTCTTAGCAGAATAAACAGAAATTCATAAGCAAAGGCTAGGCTAAGAACAGAGCATAGATCATAGTTCATGATGGGGGTAATTAAACTTAGAACACAGTAATCATCTGAAAAATTATATTTAGGACTGCATGTAGTGCCTCAATTAATGAGACAATAAAAGTCTCTGAGTCTTACTGTCTTGGGGAATGAGTATATATATTGAAACAGTGAAGCTGAGATGCAGTTCCTATCTTTCTGTCATTGCTGCATGTTTTTGAAGGAAACACTTGGTGAAGATAAAAAAGGACAAAGATGATTTTTTTCTGCGGGTTTATTAGCTTTTTAATCTTAGGACTACACTTGATTGTTGAGTTTTGGAGGATTTTCAGAGTTTGAAATTGAATGTGAAGAAGTTAAAGAAAAAAAAACCCAACAAACTGTTGCCTTAACTCTCCTGTCCTGGAAGGAAACATGACTCTAAAGGAAAACCTAAACACTGGTGTCACAAAGCTGAGGGCTGACAGTAGAAGTGTGAATTCTTAATGAGGGGGGAAAAAAATTGCGGAAGCTTGCCTGTTACCAGGTTCTTATCAATTACCCACACATTCAAGAAACGGTAAGCAACTTGCTGTTGCTGTTTAGGTAGAAGAAGAGAGATACCTAATGCAAAATCCTGCTTGGTAGTACAGTCAAATTCAGTAATAACTTCAAAGGGCGCGTGAGAGGAGAACATGCGAACATTACCCAGTGTCTTACGAAGCAAGAGAAAATGTGTTCACATTCAGAGCTGTAAATTAATTTCTCAGTGTTCTGACATATGCTGTAGAATGAAGCTTGCTGCTAAGTGAAAGGGAAAGCAACTGTGTCCCATTTTGTAGATCTGATTATAATACTGATGACTTGTAGCGGCAAAGACTAATTGTCAGTGCTTGGATCTTGCAGGCATCTGCATCATGAACAGTTGATTTTATCTTGGTCTTTTACCCTGTGTCAAAGATAATCTGGCTGTGCTACTGAAATAAATATTTAAGCTCAGTGGTTAGTATGACTTAAAGCTGTATTTTTAGCTAGCACCATAATTGTATTTCATTTACAATTGATGTGGTAAATAACATCTATATTACCTCTATATTGTCACTGCTGCTGGATTTCCAATAACAGTAGGAAGGAGGAGAGGGAAGGAAGGTGGCATTGTAACTTGTTTTCTGTGCCTAAAATGAAAGCCACAGATTCAGTGTTCTCTGCATCCTATGATAATCATCCCAGGCACAATGATGGTGTGCTCTCACTAGAATTGGTAGCCTGCTCCTGTTAGGAGCTTGTTAGGAAAGCTGGGAATTTATAGGCTTACGTCCTTCAAAACATCACCCTCAAAGATGGCAGAAAACTAATACAAGTGGGTTTTTTGTAACTAATTTTGAGGTAAAACAGACTGCTGAAGAGCTTGCCTACTGTGTCAACCATTAAATTAAATGTATTTAGGAGAAGAGCATGAATGCCTAATGAAGTTTTTGAGCATACTGTGTAAGTTAAAAAAAACCCCAAAACAACAACCAAAAACAAACAGCCCCCCCACCCCCTGGAATCTGTAATCACCATCTGTTTCTTGGATGATTACAAGCTGATCCAAAAATTTAACAGTGCCTGACTTCTCAATGGCACTTGCTGCTTAATAAGCAAGTGTGGAGAAACAAGAATACATGGATAAAATTACTTCCCCCCCAGCACTTTGTGGAGTACATCAGGAGTGTACTTTCTGTGGCTAAAGAATTCAACACGCAATGAACTCCATGACCTTCCTCAACTGCTCACATGAGGCACTGTGAGCTTGATGCTACTGTTGCACTGTTCCTGGTATTCTTGCTTGATATTTTTTAACAGAAGTGGAACAACACCAGGACAGAACAATGAAAAGAGCTGTGGGTCTCCAATCTGTCAGTGTACCTCTTGGATTCCTTCACCTTAGAGTTAGGAACTGGGAGGGGGCAGGAGTGGGAAGCATGGCAAGTAAATGCATCTTTCTTTCCCTCTCATGCAGTAACATATATTTGATCACATTAAGAATGCTTCTGTATCTGCAGAATGCTGTTAAATGTCTGCTCTAGTCAGTTTTCACTTTGGGGGTTTTCTTAGCTAGTATACTGGTTATTCCTGTTACAAACTTTCATCCAGACAAATACACAAGTAGCTCACTTATTAATTAATACCTGTCCTTATATTTTAACATGCCACTGGATAGCCTGTTAGGTGAGGTGGAACCTTTTGGTTGTGGCATAAATCACTTTTCTTAGTCCTGACTTACCTAGCATGTCTCCTAGAACTTTGTCCTGATACATGGTACATGTAGGAAACTGAAAAAGTGTTACTGAATTGGAATTCTTCTGTAGGAAGATGAAACCTAAGCAATTGAAAACTAGGTGATGCCGTCTGGAATGCAAACTCTGTTTATGATTAGGTTTCATTAAAGATAGGGTGAGATTAGTTGACCAAAACAAGCCCACAGCACTTAGTACTAGTGGTGCCTTCAAAAGTTACAGGAATTGATAGCTTCTGTGTCCATATTTTTAATATAGTCTTAAATGATGATGTGACTGGTGGCACCCTGAGGATATGGAACCATAATATTGACTCCTGGCACTGGCTGTCAGTACAACAGGTTGGTTGGAAACTGTCTTGGGATGGGGAGGGCTACTCATCACTTGTCAGCTGTGTTCTTACAGTTTGTGTTTAATGCAAAACACTGCTGCCGCAGCTGTGGTTTTTCAAAACTAAGGCAAAGTAAAACTAAAGGTATTAATCAAGATTTTCAAAACTAAGGCAAAGTAAAACTAAA